CTCACGCATCTGTGCCATTTCATTAAAAGCCAGTGTTGTGGTTTTGCTCCTGCTTCGGTTCTGCGCCTGTATATCTTAGTCCATTTTTCATGTTACTTTCATTACTCACTCTATTCAGACAGCAACGGAATTCTTCCATTCACCACATACAGTAGCTTTCTAGGACTTGACTTATGTCCACATGAAACAGAGTGAAGAAACAGGATAAGCAGAATATTCAGCTTTATTCTTTGAATGTCCAATACCTGTTTGCATTTACATAACACTCATTAAAACCTGATTGATTTCAGTCGCATTTAAAAAATGTATTAACTGCTTGTGCTCCATCACCCTTAGCTAAACAGGTTCAGCTGAATGGAGGACATTGGGATTACCACAGATAACTAGAGTGTGGGAAACAACTACAGTACCAAAGACATCTACTGTACATCGTGGTGTATCTTTTCATGAATCCATTGTTAGCTTTCTAAAGTGCAGAAGGTACAGAAGACTGTTAAAAGGGCATAAAATACAAGAGATCAGCATCTTTCTCAGTCAGAAACTGATAGCCATGTCGCCACATTTATAATGCATCTGCATGTTAACATGAATCTTTTTTTGATGTCATTGTGCTGTGCAGCGAGGCACACAGTCCAGGACTGCATAAACAGCCAACACAGCAGCTAACCTACCTTACTGCTGTCTCTGCAGTGAATGCATTGACAGAAGCAAATCAGTCTAAAAAATAAATACAAAACATGCTTAATCTAGGAATCTGTAGCAGGATACCATGCCTTCTTATCTGTTAGCCAGCACAGAATACGGAATTCAATTTGGGTGCAGAGGACAGAGTACATCCTGCAGATTTCATCCCTCACAATCCTCAGTAACCATAGCACCCATCCACTCTGCAGCCAATAGTGTTAACAGGCTGTGATCCGTGATCTGCAGCAGATTCATGACACATCTTACATTTTTCTTTCTACTACATTACAAAGGCCTAGTTTTGAATGTCATGTGTACCAAAGCTGTTTGTTAAATTTTTTTAAAAAGATTTTTAGGAAGTAGCTGGCAGGGAAATACTTCACAGATGATAACAAAGGCATGTACGTACCAATGTGATGCACAAACCAGGGCTGCTAAAACAACTCCTATTCTGGCAGTTTTGTATATTATCACATTGCCTCTGGCTGCATTATGATACCAACTTATCACTCTGTCTCACAGCTTTTATTCCATCTAATTTCAGAAATACAATGCACCGCTCCTTCAAGGGAACATGACTTTTCATTGAGTTACAGAAGTTAACTTTTGTTAAAGCTTGCCAAGGGAAGAGGACCAAGGCACCTACTTGCTTTAAGACAAATAATCACACTGGCAACCCGTGTAATAAAACTACTGTGCGTGAAATAAAGAGAGAAGGCAATTCAATTCTTAAAACAAAGCCTGACTGTTGCGATTACTTGAATTATGATAATATTTAATGTTCCACTTGGATGTATTCTTATATGAAGCTACTAGTACTACTGCCATGATCTTCCCACTTCAGTTTGATTTGAAATCCCAGACAGGCCATTAGTTTCTACAAAAGCAAAACTGGTTTTCCTTTCTCACTCCAAGAGGATAAAAACCACTTATAAGGCCCCAGAGTGTTCTGTATCCTCAGCAGAATGCCCTGGATTTGGGATTATTTTCCCCACCAAATTCCAGGAAATGTGCTCCCTGACCAGGGAAATGTGCTCAGAGTTAGCTTGGAAAAGGTCACTGTGTCTGTCTGCTGTTGTTGTTTTTCTGTTATGAATTTACCCTGCCCCCTCCCAAGAAGTCATTGTAATTTCTCAGCCTGTGGAACCTTGTCTTCTAAGCAAGATTGCAGAAACAGATAGAGTACCTGGCGGGGACATCCAAATATGCAGCTAAGGGGTGATGATTTTTTTTTTTTTAAGGCCATGAATCTTGAGTGTTGGCTGCTATTTTAAAAACATCTCAGTTTCATTTTCTTTAATGCATTAAAAATATCCACAAATGATAACAGAGATCCACTTTCAGCTGAATTACAGGAAACACTCCAGGATGAGACAAACATTCTTCCTTAAAATAGCTAATTTAATCCCTGAATTCCCACGCCTGTCAGAATCAGAACAGCTTCCAATCCTATTGTGACAGAATTTAGTAGAGCTGTAGCTCAGTCTATGATCGCCTGTCATGGCCTAAGGAAAAGACAGAGAGCCTCACAAATAATAGTTTTTAAAGTAAATGTATGTAAATTTCCAATAATTATGTTCTGTTCATTGTAAATGTATTCCTGTTATCGCTTTGTGAAATTCATGGGTCACAGCAGCAACGCTCTTTGCTCAGCACCGGTATGATCAGTTCAGAAAGACTGGTGAACTGCTGTGTCCCAATAGGCCAGTCTGAGGCATCATGCACTTCAGGCCTCTTGTCTTGGCCTGTTCCAGTACTAGGCACATGTAAGGCCTTTTTGCACATGTCATTTTTCTCCCAGAGTACAGCTCTCAAACTGGGGTAGACTCCCCCCAGCAAGCTTAAACTTAAAGAGGTTAACCGGGGGTAAAAAACTGAACCGTTAACACAACTGGGTGACACTCATCCTGAGCTGAAATCTGGTAGAATATCTACAAACCGAAGGAAAGCAAGACGTGAAAATACTCTGAAATGGTTATTCTGTCAGTGTGTTTGGACCGCTTTGCCATTCTGCTGGGGTATCGAGAGGAATTTCGCTCAAATCCCGCTGTATAAAAACAATTACAGTTTTCTGGATAAATAAAATAATCTTTAGAATAGCATAATCACATTTTAAATGACACACTACTGAGACTGACCTACATTACATGTGGCATTATTAGAAATATAGAGGATGATATTAAGCCAGTTCCCATTTTTAAACAGCATTATAACATTGCTGATTTTGCTAAGACACTGATCATCATGGTATGCAGCAGTTCTGTCTGTAAGGGGATGTGGTCTTTGTTTGTTTTTTTTATCGTGTTGACCTTGGGATGACGAAAGCCATGTGAAAGGATTAGGTTTGAGCATGTTGCAGATGTTGGGGGGGGAAAAGGCGAGCAGGGCTGAATTCAGGCACAAGTCAACATGGTGCCTGCCTGTGGGGCAACACAACCAAGGATTTGAAATACAAATGCAAGAGCAGAATAAGAATGAGCAAAGCAGCGTCTGGAGAACAAATGGAGAGCAGACAGGTCCGAGGATCACGAACAATCGCTTAAAAACTAACACAAAAAGCAATCAGGTCATACTGTACAATTAAACTTGCAACTTAAACGGCTGCTCTCTGTTCTTTGAGAGACCTCTCTGCTCAGACTGACAAAGGGGTTTATAACAAGGAAGGAGGGACTGCGCCGTGCTGAGAAGACAATGCTTCTAAGTTGCATGGAGCTGCCTATTTGTGGGTAATTGGGATATGAATTATTTATAATGGGGGACCAACCTACATTGCAACGCAGCCTTCAGAAAAAGCGCGAGAAATTAATCTTGCCGTCACTGCCCCAACGGACCGCCGAAAAAGCTTATCTTCCCCAGAGCCGCCACATGAACGAGGCCCACAGCACTGGGAAGGTCATTTTCGAACACAACCAGGAGAAAAAAAAACCTCAAAAGAAAACAAACCTCCCCATCCACCGTCAATGGCGGACCACGAGCTTGTCAGAGCAGTGGAATAGCCTTTTTTAAAGAAAACTCCATTCAAAACGGCCTGCCTTCCAGATAGAGGAGGACAGGTGCCTGACATCTGCTCCACTCCACCTCTTGAGAGAGAGACAACGTGAGGCAGGCAGGCAGGCAGCAGGGCCGAGCAAATCTCGGATCTAAGTAATCCGATTTCAAAAGGCAACTCGTTATGCTGCTAAAGACGCAGTTTCAGCTGACGTGACCAATCTGCACACAGGGCAAGGCAAGACCTCCCTAACCCTCTTCAGGCAGAAGAGGCACCACTATTTCTGCTGAGACGTGAAAACTGGGGGTTTCAGAGAAGCTTACACCGACACGAGCTTCGTTGGAAAGTCTACAAATTTCTGCCGATAAAGCCGATTCCTCAATGTGTGCCAACCAAGTGCTGCTAGCTATTATTTTTATGCCCTCACCGAAAACAACTCACAGATTACTAAAGGTTCAGCGCCCGTTGTCACCGGGTATGAAGCCGCCCTTTACAAAAGCTGACTGTCAGGAGGTGGCTCTGTTCCCAGCAACAGCAGATTATTAGCAGCTACAGTATTTTTACGACATGAACAGCTTTGCCACATTTGGCAAAAAAAAAATTAAACATGGAAAATAGTCTTCTTTTAATTGTTTTTTGGCAACAGGGCAGCTCCACAGAAACTCTATTTGTGAAAAACACTTCTGCACGTGCACCTCCATGCAGCACCGACTCTGATAACTCCTGCTAAGCACAGTCATGAATGGGCAAGTGGCCAATCTTTGCCTACTGCAGCATTTCATTAAAGATTAAAATGCACAGAAGCACAGTTCAGATGCAAAGCAAAGGCATGGCGTCTGCATGGAGACCTACAAGCGCATGCACAGTTGTACTGTGTGCACACAGTTATCATGGAGAAGGTCTATATAGACATGGGACTTCCCACCCCAATGTTAAGACCTCTTCTGAATTACACAGACGGGTTTCTGTCTTTACGCGCCCTGTTAGAGGTTCAGCTCTTACGATTTCAACAGAAAATGGGAATCCTGGCAATGTGCACGAACTGGCAGGCCCACAAACAAGTCTGTGCAGCGGGCCTTAGAATGTGGAACGGACATAAAATGTCGCAGCTCTTTTTTCAGGTGCGGAAATCTTTGCCGTCACATAACACGGCAGCAAAAGAGAGATGTTATGCAAGAGAGCGGGGTCCTGATTTGCCGCCCTGTGAAAGGCTTGTGGGAGAAGCTTGATGAGGAAGACAGGCAAATCAGTGGCAAAGGAGGAACACCGGCAGCTTAGCAGAATCGGCGCTGGCGGAGAGCGAGCAGCTCGGGGCCCGGTTACTTACGGCTGGGAGTGCGCAGTTTCGTAGCGCTCGAAGGCGTGGCTCAGGTCGTGCTTGTTGTTCATGTAGCACTGCGTGCACAGGTCGTAGTCGAAGCACACCTTGCACTTCCAGCGCATTCCCATGATGCCGTGCTTCTTGCAGCTGTCGCAGATGATGTTGGAGTGGCGAACCCCTGGAAGGCAGGAGAGCAGGGAGAGGAGTGTAGCCAAACTTATCGGCAATTCGTCACACAACACACAACCTGCGAACACATCTGGGACCAAGAAACATGTAGAACTGCACTCAAGAACTCGCATACTCTGCTAAGGTTTCTATTGTGAGTGAAGGACCTTATCTCTTTAGGTAGCAGAACTCAAAGAGGAAGCAGAGAGATTCGTAATTTTATTTGATATATACTGGTGGGTTGTCAAGTACCAAAGATCAAAACTGCTGTTCTGGTATATAATTAAAGAAAAAAAAATTAAAGCTACAACTACTCCACCTTAACCTTAATCAGCTCATTAGAAACCCATTAAGAGGGGAAATCATTGCACACCTAGAGAGATAAGGAGATTACAGGCAAGAAACATGCAATTATTCACAGCAATGAATGCTTTTTGGGTCTTTAAGTCTTTAATAAAAAAAAAGTATGAAATACCATTGTAATTATGATAATAATCAAATTAATCTAATATCAGGATACTTCAGTGAAGTGCAGTAACCCAGTGGGCACAGACAAGGAGGGGACTCTGCAGTGTGAAGTAGTAGTGTGTAATTAACAAGCACAATCTATTATTGATCAATTCAGCAATGTTGGTACTGAATTGATCACTGAGGGCGAGATCTTCCTAAAGCGATCAACTATTACCCCCACGATCACAAGGAGAGGAAAGATGCTGAAGTCAATAGCTGAGGCAGATCACGGCACTAAGCAAGGGCTGCACTGTTTATTTCCTCCAGGGCTTCACAGGGCGCCCACCCTAGGAACCCCCCCTCCTCTCTGCCACAGTGCAATTACTAAGTACTGAAGCCCGACAGCCCTCGAGACCAAACCGCCCCTCCTCCAAACCCTCTGCCTCTCTCTCGCTCACTCACACGCTCGATTAAATATTAGAGCCACTTCTTCTGAGCCAGAAAAATGCTGTCCTAATAGGGGAAAATTTATATAAATCTTGGGCTTCGTTTCCTCGCGGTGCCTGAAAATAACATCAGGCCCTCGTTATTAAAATAGACTTGACATACGAAAAAGAATAGTAGAGGAGCATGGCTTGCCCCCAGAAAGGTGTGGAAGACACAGGAAGAACTCCAGCCGTACTTGCTGAAAGACCGAGTTACAGATATTATTAACTGCTGTAGCTGTATTGTTGATCTAGTTTGCTTAGAGGGTGAGGCCCCTGGCTGCCGAAGAATAAGAGAACAAGCAAGATTTTTTCATTTTTATTTGCAGTTTATTTTTAATACATATTTAGGAATATGTTCCCAAGTTACTCTTCAATTAACATCTCCCAGAACACCAAGAGAGGACAATTATTGGATCCAACATTTTTGTCCAGGGACCCTAGGATGCCAGTTGCAGTGCTACTGTGCCATCTAAATGAAGGATGCAGCCTGTACAGATGCATGCAGATACAATTCAATCCGGGGAGGCTTGGTCAAAGATGCACAATGCATTCATCAGGCCTCATTTAGAATTGTGTACAATTCGGATCACAATTTTTTAATAGCAAAGATACTGCAAGTCTGGAATCAGTCCAGAGAAGAGCATCCAGATACATTCCGGGGATTCAAGGAGTGTATTACACTGACACGGCACCCAGCAGGGGCTGCATTGTTAACTGGCAGGCTGAAAGAGCGCGTGGTTTTGATTGCTTACTCTACATGAAGCTTAAATCAAAAATCAAAATCAAAGTGGAGCTTGGCCACAAAATGCCCAGTACCCTCCAGAAAACCCCAGCTACAGCGATCCTGGGAGACACTGCAGGATGAGTATGAGCTCCAGTCACACTCTCTCCCCAGGTGCAGTGTCACCCCTCCCTCAGCCCCGGCAGAAGGCTGCTGCTGCCTGTCGCTTCATTTTTAATCAGCTCTGCCTGCTGTCCTGGTGGCTCATCCAGAGTGACGGATGCGCCGATTGTTTAACGCGTCTGAAGCAGTGATAAATCCTACGCAATCTTGTTCCGTTACGCCCTGCCCTGCGTCACGCTCCCTGCGGCCCACCTGTCTGTGGGATTCAGTCAGGCTAGGAAATGGATAAGATTAAAATAACAAAAAAACGATGAAACACATGACCAAGATCGGAAACGCATTTTTCTCCTGCATTTCGCAAAAGCATCCTGTCCTTTTGCTTGAAGGCACGCAGATGGAGGCCGTGTGCTGCTACTCTTTCAAATTAAAGATGTGTTAACGAGAGGACTCTCCGTCCGCGACGCAAAAGTTCTTCAGAGTCGCCAAGTTTCATGCACGGGCACGGCCTTGCTCGACCTTGGACAGCGACAGCCCCCGCGGGGATCTGAAGAGCTCACTTCGCTGGTTTAGACGAAAGACCGCAATCCGTCTTTCTTGGGAATTGAGAAATTTAAGCTGGTCAAACCTCGTCAACGTTTCACTCTGCTATCCAAACTGGAATCTGAAATTATTTCTGCTAAATATTGAAAGAAGCAAAAAAAATACAGCTTATCTTTAATAAAAACATAAAGATAAAAAAAACACCTTCCAGAGGAATGCACAAGACCCTCCAGAACACATTGACCACTGCGGTAAATATACACAGCCTCTTTAATTACGTGCATCAAATTTTCCCACACTCTAAAACAGGGGCAGAGAGCTTTGGCTCGCCCAGTCCACATCATTGCAGAAGTTTGATCCCGTCCTAAATTAACTAAGTACTTCGTTGACTGTGTATTGCTGAATTAAAGCCGGCGATACAGATGGCATAAGGAATTAAGGATGAGCTTGAGCAAAGACTTCCACTGGAATGGACAAGACAGGGCCACTGACAAAAGTTCCCTTTGCATTGCGCACCACGATTTCACGGTCTTGTCCAGGTGTAGTGCAGCGAGGAATGCGGAGGCAGGCAGGTGAGGATGGCTGGGCTCCTGGGCATGGCTCTGTCCCAGGGTTCAGAGAGATGGGGACCCTACCTCCTTCACCTGAGCTACCCAGAATGGCCCTAGTGCAGGGCTTGCACAGGAGACAAAAACACGCTGCAATGAGACCCTGCACTCACCGATCTGGGCGTTGTCATACAGGAGCAGGTCATAGGCCCCTTGGTAGCCTGTGCGGTAGTTAGTGCGGGTCCCGTTGTCCCACTGCACCACCACGGTTTTGTCGGGCGTGGTGGTGCTGCCCTGGCGCCCGATCTCCACCACAGTGCCCACATGGCCCTCCCCGTCGTCCTGGCTGCCCCACTTCCAATCCACGCCGCGGACCACACGCATGCCGACCTCCATCCCGGCAGGCAGGGCAGCGCCCTCTTCAACGCCGGGGCCGGGGAGGGGAGGGAGAGAGCGAGGGGTCTGGCGGCGGCTCAGCGGAGGCTGCAGAAAGAACAAACGCCCGTCAGCTGGGGCCGGTAACACCTGTCTCCCCACACCTACCTGTCCAGACACCTGAAGTACAAGCCAGCAGGCCGGACCTGTGCAGCACCCTTACAGGAGCTGGACTCAAGGCTGCTGTCCTGCTGGGGGAGGTTTTGCCCTGGCCGACAGTCTTTTCACAACATGTACATCAAGAGAGAAATCAGAGACCTGCCCCTTGCAGAGCACAAACAAATAACCTCTCAAATGCAGCACGAGTACAGGGGGGCGTGGTTTAACATCACTCAGACATTTAAGCCAAGTTAGCTGGAAGCCAGCCTACGTAGAGTGCTTCAACTTCAACACGCTTTAAAACTTTCTATAGAATAAAACCGCTCACATGGAAAATTCCCCCAGTCTCAGACCATGATAAAAATCAGGTTAAACCTCATCTCTTTCAGGAATTATTGCTACAGAACCATTTTGAAACACTGCGATTCATAGTGATGCTCAGTCCTTTCACACTGATAAGAGCTAAAAGTTCTCTCTCTTACTGCACTTCTGACCTCCTATGTTTAAATAAAGCGAATGACACGACCCAAACCTCCCGACAGAACTGACCAGCAGCCGTGCTATAAAGACAAAAAAAGGAAGAGTACCCTCCCAGCTGTGAGGCTTCTTTTTGAGAATCCCAGATCAGACTCCTGAAAAGTTACATCAAGAGACTCGAAATCAGCAGAACTCCACATCTGTGCGACAGTTGTGCTGATGTAACGCAGGGCTGCGTCTCCCTCCATATGCTCTGCCAGTCTCTCTGCCTCTCTGGGGCAGACAGGAAGGAGGCCGTGGATGTGTGCTTACGCCATGACTACGCAATGACACACACAGCCACATGTGCGGAATCAATTCTGGGAGTGTGAAACTCACTTTGAAGCGCCTTGGCTTCCTTACTGTTTTCTCGTGTCTAAGAAATAGAAGCCATGAACACTCAGGCAGTGACACAACCTGCCCAAGACTCTGTAGATACTGCCTCTTCATGTGGCTTGGTGACTTAACAGCTGTCCTATTCAAGCCATTCCACTGTCAACACTGTGCACCATGTGGAAATGAAACTTGGGACATCAAACATGCAACACAAACAAGACCATGGGAAGATCTTTCCATGAATGGCAGTATTAGAGTATTTGTTAAGCATGCTTTATCACTTCAGCATAACCACCATTTCTGCTCTAGATGACTGCATACTAACATTTTACTGATCCAATGCGCAGCTCTTATGATGCAACCTGTTTGAAAAAGCCAATTAGATTAATAAGCACCTTGTAAATAGGCCCTTTACATTTGAAACAATTTATACAATATTTTCAGAGAACACAAGTAGAAACTATGGGGAAGTACAATTATAGAGATCAGAAGTCATTTTTCATGTTGTGCTGTGGGAGTCTGAGTTATCCAGCTATGTTGTTGAAGGCGGTACCCTGGCTTCTCTCAAGAAATGGCTGGATGAGAACTGCAGATCAATCAAGCTACTAGCAACCAAATGAACCAGGTGAGCTGAATGTCCACCTTGCTTATGTGCCCTAATGTTCTGACATTCTGTTCAAACGTGCACTGAAACACATAGCTGATGTTTTGGGTGCAGCTGTACACTAAAACACTAATTTCTTAATTGTATGTACTTGCTAATGAAGGATGCCTTCATCCTAGCCAGTGGTCTTTAAGATGTTCCAGCAAATCAGCGAAGAACCTGCCAGTCTGTACGGTGAACATGCAGAGATATTGCTCCCTGCTCAAGGCAGCTGCTTGACATTACACTGGGTGGGTGAGGTTGCCATTACGTTCTGCAGAAGTTTTATTGGAACTACGTGAAATAAAGTGTAACACCCAGAGGGCTGAGTAAATGTTCCTACGATCCAACATCCCAGGGAATGGGAAGCTCCTGCTGTCCGAATGTGAAATCGCATGGGAGGTGCAACTTCATTTACGTCATGCAGCTCAGTGCCATCGGCATCACAGCTTCCCCTTAAAAATTCCTCTGCTCAAACTGTGCAGCAACATAGGCAAGCAGAGCTGTACCAATGCCTATCAGGTCATAAAAAGGGCTAATGAACACTGGAAATGCTTGAGCTCTTGGGGGTTGCAAATTATTATTTACAAAACTGTTTACAAGGCTTTGTGCACTGACTGTTAATTGCCACTTGTATGTGGTAATTACTGACTTTGCTAATTAATGCTGTGTAGATCATCTGCATTTTTACATGTGCTGTTAACATATCATTTAGTGTTAATGGCTTTCATGTTAATTACGTGTTAATTCACCAGTGGACTATGACTTCCACCTTAAAAGTGCCATGCATTCAAACACGTACAAACTAATACTGCAATGTGGTCAGCGACGTAAAATCATGTTAACAATATTGCCACTTGGTAGATGTACAATTAAAAAATGTACGAACGAACACTGTCATGTGGTTACCCTCGTTTACCAATGATGACCAGAGTATTTCAAGTGGACAGCAAATCTCATTATCTCTGCTTTAACTGACCACGGCCTTAAAAAAAGGTCAGAGGACTTGAGTTCCCCTTTTCTGGACGATCTGCCATCACTGCCAGCTCTGTCTTCTTGCATCCTGACTAAAATGGCCCCAGGGCTCTGTTGCAATTCGAATAAAGCACAAGCTGGGTGTCTGCAGGAGACTTTTCCTTGCCAATCGAAACCAGGTCTTTTGTGATCAGGCCTGCTTTTGCAGTACAAGACTGTTAATTAAAAGGAAGGATAGTGGCGTCAGGTAAGACAGGAGGAAAAGGACTTCTATCTTAAATTACACATGGGAAGCAAAAGGTCTCCAAAACCCCCTGGCTTTAGCACAGCAAAGGCGACAAAAGAGAGGATTCTTTAAGAGGAGGAGTGGAGTGAAGTGGAGGAGGCAGAGCAGGTTAGAATCTGGGTCCGAGTTTTCAGCTTTCGTGTACTGCTTTCCCATCCATACAGGAAAATGTTCAGATTTGAAAATCATGATTAAAAGCCATTTCTTAAGGTCTGACTTTGTGAAATTAATATTTTAAAGAAGCCACCAGAGCAGAAGTACTGCTCAAAAATAACTACACAAACTAACTTTCGAGAAGGCAAAGAATTGTCTTCGCTCACCGGCCACAGTAAAAACCTCCTCCAGTCTGTATGGAAACACTACAGCTTTGCGTTGGGATATGGAATCAACTTTTGCTTGCGACTTCAAGCTGAAGCATGACACTCGGGAGATTCCCACACACTTCAGATAAGCCGTAATGAACGTGCAAAGAAATTTTCCTTGTGGAAAAAAAAAAGCATTAAAGAAGCACAT